CTGTACATTTGGACAGATGGATGTGCATTAGGTGGACAGATTTGATCAAAGCATTTGTTCCTATAGTGGCAGTAATATAGTGTATGATGCTAAATATTATCCAATTATATAACATGTGTAATAGCAGTCAGGTGTTCATTGAGAAAATTAATTGATTTTAATTCTTCAAAACACTTAAGCTGTAATGATGCAGTCAACCACACATCTGCCTCCAGATGGCTTTAACGACTGACGAGCAGTACTTTAATAAGAGTTTTTTATGCAAGTATAATTCATTTCAGACGATTTCAGCCAATTTAGCAATGAACAAATTGGGCCGATCAGATTTTCTGGATCTATTAAAGGGATAGTTCATAGAGCCCTGCACAGGCCTCAAATATAGGCCCTAGCCCGGCCCGTGTCCGACAGCTCATCAGAATCACCGGCCCGAGCCCTTCTCCCAAAACAGCTTATACTACTGTTTCAGCTATTAAAATAGTTCCGATTTGTATGTAATGGCAAAGTGATTATATTTCGTTTCGTTTTTTTATTAAGTTAATTTAGAAAAATGTTTGGAGCATTTTTTGTTCGTTAAATATACGGGTTTTTTTTTTTAAGTAACGACCAAGCAGCCAGCGGCAGACAGTGAGCTGATCATAGCCTGTGTTTGATCAATTTAGCCTTCTCAAATCATCACGCCTAAAATAAAATCTATAGATATAAAACAGTTATGCAAGCATAATGTTTAAACGTTAAACCTAGATAAATGTTCGCCATCATTGTTGCTCATAAAGGTAAGAGTAATACATAATTCGTAACTGTGAAGGGTCTACTTTTATTTGTGTGCACTCACAATATCAACAAAACGTTGTGCTTTTATAAAATAAAGAAAACAAACGCGCCTAAAATAAAATCTATAGATATAAAACAGTTATGCAAGCATAATGTTTAAATGTTAAACCTAGATAAATGTTCGCCGTCATTGTTGCTCATAAAGGTAAGAGTAATACATAATTCGTAACTGTGAAGGGTCTACTTTTATTTGTGTGCACTCACAATATCAACAAAACGTTGTGCTTTTATAAAATAAAGAAAACAAACATGATGCGCTTTCTGCCGTCTCGGTCTTCAACAGGAGCGCTTACAAAAATGAACCGAAACCCAGCGAATACATGCCTCACAGACATGATAAATATATCTATAGAAAGCTTTAAATAGCTACTTAACGAAATACAACGAAACAAAAACTCTTTCATTATGATCATAATCCATAAAGATGCACTTCTCAAATCCTAAGATGTTCCTGTGGCTCAGTGGTAGAGCATTGCGTTAGCTGCGCAAAAGGTTGTGGGTTCGATTCCCAGGGAACACACATACTGGTAAAATATGTATAGCCTGAATGCACTGTAAGTTGCTTTGGATAAAAGCATCTGCTAAATGCATAAATTATTATTATTTAAATAAAATTATTATTAATTAATTAAAATGATTATTTCTCTCTAAAAGCTTGTCTAATGAGGAGATGGCGAGTCAGAAAACACTAGTTTATTGCCTCACAGACATGATAAATATATCTATAGAAAGCTTTAAATAGTTTTTGTTTTGTTGTATTTCGTTAAGTAGCTCTTTCATTATGATCATAATCCATAAAGATGCACTTCTCAAATCCTAAGATGTTCCTGTGGCTCAGTGGTAGAGCATTGCGTTAGCTGCGCAAAAGGTTGTGGGTTCGATTCCCAGGGAACACACATACTGGTAAAATATGTATAGCCTGAATGCACTGTAAGATGCTTTGGATAAAAGCATCTGCTAAATGCATAAATTATTATTATTTAAATAAAATTATTATGAATTAATTAAAATTATTATTTCTCTCTAAAAGCTTGTCTAATGAGGAGATGGTGAGTCAGAAAACACTAGTTTATTAGTAAATAATTCAAATATCTCCTTACTATTTTCTCTGACACATTCATGGTAATTACTTTTGCCGGTGCTTTGCGGCAAGCTTAAGCCGATTGCGTGCGTTTGAGCGCAGAACTGTTCAGCTGTGCTCTGCACTCTTGCTGCTGCGACACTGACCACCAGCACGGTCTCGTGTTGTTTCAACCAGCACGGCAAACAATGTTTTTCATCATTAACTGATGGATGTGTAAAACATAAAAATGAGAAACCTAAAACAGGCCCGAGGCCCGGCCCGCGTCTGAACTATGACGTGAAAATTGTCCCAAAGCCTGGCCCCTAGGGGCGTAAAAAAGATGGGGCCCGTCGGGCCTGGACTGAAAATGCTGGGCTCTAATAGTTTAGCCAAAAATGAACATTTGCTGTTAATTTTCTCATCCTCAGGCCATCCAAGATGCAGGCGACTGTTTTTCTTCAGTAGAACAGTAAAGAAGATGTTTAGCTGAAACTGTGCTCCTTGGTGATTTATTAAAAATGTAAGAATAATAAAATGCAAGTGGCTGCCCTTTTTTTATTTTTTTTATTTTATAAAAAATAAGCATATCAAGGAACACAAAATGAAAACCCGTGGCTCCTGACAAAATATTGAGGTCTTATGAAGTGAAATGATCGGTCTGTGTGAGAACACTTTATCGCTTTGTCATAAGTCGTCTGCCAAATGCATCAATGTAGACTGCAGGAACAGAGCAAGCTAAACAGCTGGCACTGACTGCAGACGATCGTTCGAGGAGAAGCCCTGATTTAGCGCAAGCGTTTGTTTGTGTTCTGCTGTCGTAGGTACTTTGAGGAGGTGTTCAATGCGAGCGGAGGGCAGGAGCTGGTTCAGAAATACGGATCCTGGTTCTCCTTCAGCGACAATCCGAGAGCGCAGATTTTCCGCAGAAACCAGTCTCTCGTTACTGACATCGAGTCCATGATGCGTCTGATGAGGTATTACCCAAACTCTTAATTCATGTGAAGAGAGCATCTCACTTTGCTGCAGTTTGTTTGTTTTTTGCTGGTCTTGATTTAGTCTCTGCCTGTGTGTCCTCTGCAGGTATAATAACTACGAGGAGGACCCTCTGTCGCGCTGTGACGGCTGTGACCCCGCTCAGAACGGGGAGAACTCCATCTCGGCCCGCTCGGACCTGAATCCTGGGAACGGCTCGTATCCGTTCGGGGCTCTGAGACAGCGTCCTCACGGCGGCACGGACATGAAGGTGAGCAGTGGTGTGAGTGCAGCTGCTGTCTGAGCTCGGCTGTGTGTCTGACACTCCTGTTGTCCTGCAGGTGACCAGCGCTGGCATGTTCAGCCGGCTGGAGCTGGTGGCGGTCAGCGGCCCCACGTGGGATCAGGTGCCCGTCTTCCAGTGGAGCAGCTCGCCGTACAGCACACTCCTGCACATGGGCCATCCGGACCGCTGGGCCTTCCAGCCCGTCCACGTCAGATGGTCCACCTATCACCTGTCCAGTCCTGACCGTCCCTGATCCTCCACACGATGACCGCAGTCTCAAGAAGAGTCTAAGAAACCAAGAGAAGCGCTATGTGACTGTTGTGTTCTGGAAGAGTTCCTCTTAAATGTTCTGCGTCTGTGGAATGACAATCAATCAAGACGTCGTGATTGTTCTGCTGCTTCTTTGAATTTCTCACCCAAGCCTTGCACATGAAAAATATGGAAATTGTCTAATAATTGTGTATCCAAACTATGGCCATTATTCTGTTTTCTAAAATATAAAATTGAGAATTTTTAAAAAATAAATACATTTATCATACAAGCAAAGTGTGAAAGCACTTGTCACCATCGTCCTGTGCTTGTTCATTAATCAATAATAATTATTCATTAGGTGAAATACACCTATAGTGTTCATGTTGAATTGCCAAACACTTTTGCTGCTGTTGAGGTGGGATATGGGTTAAGTTAGGGCAGGTTTGGGGTGTAGCGGTAGGGTCATCTATAGATATAGCTATTTAAATATGAGTACGTGTGAAAACATGAATACACAATAAGTGCACTGTAACAAATTATTAATTTAAATGTAAGTGCACAGTAGTTAAGGACACTTAATGTGGGTTCCAAATTTGTGCATCTTATTAAAACAAACATTCAAACTGAACTTCATTCAGGCTTGTTTGTTTGTAGTGTTGTCAAGGTACCAGTATATCGTTACCAAGGCAGTGCAGAAATGTTAAATAACTAATAATAGCAGTCATTCTTCAGCTGTGTATTGGTGTGAGTGAGGAGCATCAAACGTTTCTGTTTACAGTGTGTTTTCAGAGCGTTGAGCATTGTAGCCAATCAGACATGTTTGTTGAGCATGTGAACACAATGGCCAGTCAGAGGTGTTTAGGTGGTTTTTATTCAGCGCTTTAGTTAAGTACGGTTGCGAATCCTATCAGTATAATCAACGAAATGAAAACACGAGTAAATAATAGAGTCATTGTGCAGTGTGGACATCTTTATTGATTATAACAGAAGTTTTCCCAAGAGTGCGAGATATTTAAATGCAGTACTGAATCCAAAATTGTGATGATTGTCACAGTAATAACCATAGCAACGGATGGGACATAAACCATCTGTCAAAATTGATCTTGGAGTGTAAATGCAGAATAAATAGACTTGCCACTTACTTGCCACAACTAGTTAGTTTTTTTTTTTTCAAATTGTTAAGTATTTCTAAAAGTTAAATATTTCATATTTTTTACTATGGTACAGAGAACAATGAAATTTTACTGGTATTGGTAGACTACTGACATTTTGGTACTGTGACAACACTATTTGTAGTGTGAGTATCAAATTATGAATTTAATATTGTAAATTTGAACAAGTAATCGTTACCTACACACTAAATCATTTATACTATGAAATATGGTCTGAAAATATGAGTCTGTAATTTTGAAATGGACGTGTATGAGCCCTGAGCATCTCCACTGATACAGTCATCAGGATTGACAGACCAGCAGATTAAATTCAGTTCTATCAAACCATTCTTTTTGTTTTGGACTGAAACACTAGTTTCAATCACTGTGGTCATGGTGCTACAAAAGACTTGGTAAAACACTCAGATCGCAGGAAGGGAACCCATCAGACGTAAGCGTGAGATCCTTTGGGAGGTTTGCTGGTCTTCTGGTTGGCTCTGTCAGGGATGGGTGACAGCGGAGGACTGTACGTCTTCTGGTTCGCTTCGGAGAGATTGGAGGAAGGAGTGTGATAGGACGTCTCTTGGGTCTTGGAGCTGAAATCAGAAACATCCAATCAGTGGCAGGACATCTGTCGAAAATTCACCAACACAAGGGCAAGCAGAAGGCAAACAATTCCTGTTCCTCAATTCAGTGTGAAAATGTGCATTTGTGCTCAATTACAGCAATAAGCCCCAAGAAGCTGTGGTTTACAGTGAATTTATAACAGCTAAGGGCCGTTGTGGCGACGTGAAGCGGAGTGCCTAAAACCCCTTAGCTGTTATAAATTCACTGTAAACCACGGCTTCACGGGGGTTACTGCTTTTATACAGTTATTCCATATACGTAGTAAGGTTTCACAGAATAAAACGGAGCAAATAAAGTGTAATGATATTAATAAACACAGTATTCTTCCACCAAACAATGTAGCTCCTCAGAAACAGTTGTGGTTCCAACAAAGTGCTTGCCGAGCAACACACAAACGTAAAGATGTGTGTTTGTAGAGTAATTTACAACAGCTTCGAGCGCGGCTCAGCCAATCAGAATCAAGCACCGGAACTCTACGCTTTATAATCGCCTTTGCACAACACATTAATACTAATTATATAACAAGCATTCCCAGTGGAACACAAAATGCCAAGTTTGATCCGATTAAGCACACTTTTTTTATTACAAACCTGTTGGGCGTCCTTCGCATGAATGCAACGCCTCTGTCAACAGGGTGAATCTCAAGGAACATGGTTGTAAAATAGTTGTTCATTCTTATCTTTTAATGCTAAAGATTTTGTGGTTGAAATGAGATTTCTTTGTGGTTTAGTCCACCGATGACGTGCACTGATACCTGGATCGGCAGCCCTCCTTCCCTGCAGTGATGCTGTACACAAATCCTCCCGCCGCGAGGAGAGCCGAGCCGCCCCATCCCACAAACAGAGCTGATCCCAGTTCAAACCTGCTCACCAGACAGGTCGAATTTCAAACGAGCAGCAGATGTCAAGTACGTATTTCATCTGATTTCTCTTGGGTATTGAGATACTCACTTTTTTGCTTTGTAATTTGGATCCATGAACTCAGAAATAACCTTGTGGGCGTAGCAGCTGTAAGCAAACATACCGCAGAGACCTGAAACAGAGACACAAGTCAAGCTTCACTTACACGCACATACTGGAACATACTGGACGAGTGCAAGTGTTTACCTGAGAAAAGGTAATTCATCCCTGCAGCAAAGGTAACTCTCGCATTCACAATTTCAGAGCCTCCGAGTTTTGTGCACTTCATCCCCACCAAAGCAAGAATGGACCCGAAGAATCCCAGAATTATGGAGACGATGACGAGAGATCGGCACAGATGAATGTATGCTGGTGAATGATGGACAGAACGATGGACACGTTTATTTGTAAAGCGCATTTTACAATACAAAATGTTTTCAAAGCACATGAAGTCATGCAGTTATCGGTAACACTTCGTAATAATGGTCTATCATTTACAGGTAAGTATGCACACGAAGTAATGCAATGATTACAGTACTACAGTAACACTAAAGCTACTTTTACAGTAAGTAATAGCAAATATAGGACTGAGATAGTTCCTCAGTGGCTAATCAGTAGTTACTGAATGAGATTGGTCTCATTAAGAGCTGTTAAATAACTAAAGAAACTCTCTAATCGCACATTTAACATGTCTGAGACTTGATCAATTGTTGGTTTTCTTACGTTTCCAGAATGTAATAATGAATATTACCCATTTATACATGTATTAGATAGATATAAAAGGAGCAAAACAATGGTTTGATGTTTTTGTTCCATAATTACTTGCGATTGATTGGTACAAAATGTCAACATATGTTTCATGTCCTCCGCAGGCACTAATTGTGCAAAAGTCCAGGAGCTTTTTTACTTTGTAGCAAAGCTTTAAGGTTTGTTTATCCAGAACTTTCCTTCCAAACATGAATCCACTCTGAGACATTATTGACTGGAATGAAGCATCTTTCTAGTCATACTCACTCTGCAGAGCCAGCAGTGTGGGGAACTCTTTGCAGTCAGTAACGCCAGTGGAGTCAGACAGACAGTCTTTCCAGAGGTTGGAGAAATAGTGGCCAGATGTCAGAACTAAACTGTCCACTTCAGAATAAGTCCAATAATTTGTCGGCATCGTGGAACAAACTAAGATCCACCCGCAAACGCACGCTACGAAGCACCCTATTTCAGTGTACATCATGACCGTTCTGTAATGCATGCTGGGATGAGCCTGATGCAGTTAAAGATGATCTTCGAAAGCAGAACTCAGTGAGAGGACAGACCTTCCTCGAGGTGTGCCGGACAGATCTGGTGCTTTCACTGGCTCTTTGGGAGGAGGACACTGTTTGTGGTGTCATCAGTGCCACTCTGACATACTGTTTATTATATACATAAAGCTCAGAACAACCCGTATTACATGCTTTTATACTTACAAATGTCACCTCGTACACAAAACTGGTAACAGAAAAAAAAACTTTATTTGTTTGTACAGTGCTTTTCACAACACGCATGGTTTCAAAGCAGCTTTAGAGAAGACTCACTGTTATGTCTATTATGCCTTAGTGCTTTTAGTGTGTTTTGGTGCTCCTCTGGATTTAAATCTACTTATATTGTATTTAGAGTGTTGTCTAGCAGAAATATCAGTCCCACAGTGACTTAAACACACAAGCATTCAAAGTAAATAAGAGATTTAGATATCGGTCGGTTTTGTTCTAAATGAGTAAGTGATTTTACAGTACAATGATTTTTACATTTTACAGTATTAATGAGAACATGATCATTGTCACAGGTGAAAAGCCTGATGTCCAAATGTGCAAAAGTAATTAAGGGATTTAGATAAAGGTCCGTTTAGATTTCAGGCAGAAGCACTATATTGTGAGGCAATGGTTGAAAATGACTAAATGGGGAGTTGGATCAATGACTGAAATGACTGAAACCAATGGAGCCATGAATTTACTTTTTTATTACACTACTTTATTTTATTGTAGCATTTTTTTTAATGGTCTTTGTAAGTTTCTAAAGTCATTCTAAAGTTCACACAAATGTGTCTCTGGGAGATATTTTCTCCCCAGTGGTCTGAGACATCCTGGAGATGCGAGAGCCACTCGATTGGCTGAGAAGTATAGATTGTCTTGAGGGTGTGTAGTATGCAGAAGTGTACAGTGCTTTACTCGCTGTCCGCTGGGCGTATGATGGAGGGGTGTCTGTTGTTCTTGCCATTGCAGTCAACTTTCTACAAGAGAATTGTAGATTGATTTATCTTCCTCGTTGCTATACATTTTTTGTAAGTTTTTCTGTAACAGTGAAGATTATTTACCTGGTCGGGATGATTGTCACAGCATAAAATACAGATCCAAGAATTATAAAGAAACTTCCAATCAATCCAAAGAATATTGGCGTTCCTAACCCATACCTGCACAAAAATAAATAGAACATTAACATCTTTTGTACATTTCTGGCATCTGATTATCAGCACTGGATATGATTTTGAATAATTTCCCTATTATACTGCATTTTGCATTCTAATTGTTATGGTACTAGATTCATATATGGTGCCCCCCACAAATATTGGAAGTAATTTTAAGAACGAATTTGATTGAAAAGGGCATTTTAAAAATGGAAGAGTCTGTACCAGTGGCGTCTTCATTGCAAACGAATCTGTCATTTGAACAACAAAAAGAACAGCTATTTTTACAGATGGAGCATGAGAAATTGAAAGACTGTTCTGAACAGGGTGAGATTGAGTTGGAAAAAGCAAAGCTCTCAAATTGAACTTGATGAGGGAGGGTAAATTTTCTAACTGCACGGAAGAACAAGGTATGTTCTCGTTTCAAAACTCGTTATGCAATGTAATGAAGAAGACCCTGAGACTTTTTTCACTCTTTTTGAACGTGTGGCAGAATTAAGAAACTGGTCAGATGAGAACCGCGTTGCGCTGTTACAATGTGTTTTAATTGGAAAAGCACAAGTTGCATTTTCTTCATTGTCACTTGATGATGTTAATGATTACGAAGAGGAGACCCTCTCGCCGGATGATTGCGTGCTTTGTGGTCGACTACAAAATTTTAGAGTCATTACAGAATTTAGAATTCTCTCTCCATCATCTGCCTTCTGTAAGATGTCAGGAGTTATGTGAATTATTACATAGTTTTCCTGAATTATTTGGAGATGTGCCTTCTCGTACTGATTGGGTCGAACACGATATTGATGTGATCGTGTTTTGCCTGAGAAACAGGAATTGATGGAAAGAGAAATTCGGTATATTGCAGTGCCTTTGTCTTCTGATTGGGCCTCCCCGTGCCTTTTAGTAGGAAAGGCAGGCGGTAGCGTTCGATTCTGTACAGATTTTCGCAAAGTAAATAGTTTAACTAAACCAGATTGCTTTCCTTTACCTCGCATCGAAGATTGTGTAGACCAGGTCGGGTCTGCCAAGTTCGTCAGCAAGTTTGACTTGCTGAAGGGCTATTGGGAAATGCCTCTTGCCAAGCGAGTGCAAGAAATATCATCCTTTGTTATTCCGTCGGGCCTATATTCCTATCAGGTCATGAGTTTCGGCCTGCGAAATGCTCGGGTGACGTTTCAGCACCTTATGAACCGGGTGGTGTCGGGTCTCGAGGGGTGCACTGTTTATGTGGATGACTTAGTTGTCTTTAGTGGCAGCTGGGATTCTTTTTTAAAACGGTGACGCTCTGTGTTAAGATGTTTGTCTGAAGCTCGGCTTACGGTAAACTTAAGAAAATGTGAGTTTGCCAAGGCGTCTGTGACGTATCTTGGGAAAGTAGTGGGAAATGGGGAAGTGCATCCAGTACGTGCAAAGGTCCAAGCCATCCAGAACTTTCCTTCTCTGACAACCAAGAAAGAATTTATGAGGTTTTTAGGACTGGTAGGGTACTACCGATCTTTTTGTCGTAATTTTTCGACTGTAGTCGCACCACTTACAGACTTGTTGAAGGGCAAGGTAAAGTTTATTTGGTCTCCTAGCTGTGAGACGGCTTTCGAAAATGTTAAGTCTCTGCTGTGTTCGGAGCCTGTGCTTCAGGCTCCGTCCTTTGATAAGTCTTTTATGCTGCAAGTTGATGCCAGTAACGTGGGAGCTGGAGCCGTCCTTCAGCAGCGTGATGGTGACGGAGTAGCTCATCCAGTTAGCTTTTTTCCAAGAAAGTTTACCTCATATCCTCATAACCACTATTCTGTGGTTGAAAAGGAAGTGTTGACCCTTATTTGGGCACTACAGCATTTTGCCGTGTATTTAAATTCAAGTGCCCCTATTGTGATTAACATGAACTGTTCCCTCCTGGTGGAATGACCTGCCCAAATCAATCCGAGCAGCTGAGTCCTTAACCATCTTCAAGAAACGACTAAAAACACATCTGTTCCACCTTTATTTGACCCTCTAACTCTAACACTTTCTATTCTATTTTAATTCTACTTTATCTATATTTATCTTCTTTTTTTATTTTAATTTTTTATAAAAAAACTAAAACAAAACAAACAAACACTCGCGTTCTCTTTTTTCTATTCTATCTACTTGTTTTTCTTTGTGTGTGTGTGTGTGTGTGTGTGTGTATAATAAATATATATAGACCTTGCTACATGTACTGCGTTAGGCTAACCGAGACTTGTCATTTGCACTTATATATTGTTGCTCTTTTGTTAGTTTTGACTGCTTTTATTGTCCTCATTTGTAAGTCGCTTTGGATAAAAGTGTCTGCTAAATGACTAAATGTAAAAGTGATATACATGGATCATAATCCACTGACATTTCTGAATTCAGCGGCTGATTCGGTGGTCTCTGTTTTTACAGTCGTTCTGCCTGGATATTCCACACGTCCGAGGTTCGGAAAATGTGGTAGCCGATGCGTTGTCTCGCACTCCGGATGCATAATGTAGCTATGGTTTGGGGCTAATTTGGATGTTTTCTTCTTTCGGTGGTTTTTTTAGGAGCTGTCCTTGGTTCTGATTCAGGTATGCTATTTGGCTGATTTGTTTTGATATTTTGTTACAGAGATCTTTGTGGGAGTCCCTGTCTTATGGGGAGGGGTGTGACGACCCCTGTCGTTTGTTCCTGGAATCGCTGTTGAGCCCACAAACTACCTTGATTGGCAGCCATTTGAAACACCTGTTCTCTATCAGACGCTCCGTTTAAAAGAGCCTCCGCTTGAGCCAGAGTGGGGCTTCGTTTTGAATATTTGGTTTAGTGGCTTGTTTGGTTTGCTTTTGCCCTCGCATTTCAACACCGCAGTACAATCTCCCTACATCCATGCATTTCGCATTACACACTGCCATTACTGATGTTTTCCAATACATAGTTGTTTTCTTTATGGTTTTCCTTACTTTTTTCATGTGACCCTAATTTTTTAATAAACTATATTTTGTGTCAACAATTTGGTTTCGCGTGTGTCCTGTTTGTTGCTTCTCTTGAGCCATGGGTCGTAACACAGGCAAAATCCTTTCCTGGGGAGCTCATTGTTTTCATGACTGTCTTCAGTTATTTCAATGTATCACTCTTTCACAACCAAGTTCCAGAGACCACTCCAACCATTGAAAGCCCATCTCTCATGTCCTCTATCTCTATTCTTCCCAAATATAGCCAGTTCCATGATGTGTTCAGTCTCACATGTGCACCACAACTACCACACTCATCGCCCCTGGGACTGTGCTATTGACTTCCTGGAACCTTCTTATAGCAAGGGAGAGTTTATCCACTGTCTTATTCGCCCATCTACTTGGATGGGCAGATTTACCTAGAATTTAAATATTAATGAATTGTGTAACCAATTACACAATTCATAAACCCTATTGTGCAACCTAGAATACTGACTAACACTTGATGGCTGTTCTGCCAAGTCTTCGTCATCAGTTAGGAACCTAGATTTGATAGCTATTTACCTAGCAAGCTATTTGATAGCAATCTTCAGAGAGTGGTGCCTGGTTGAATAACTCATAATTAGATGACAGGTGCAGGTGATTAGACCTCAGGTGACTGGGATTGGTGAGTGAGCGTGCCGAATTAATGACAGCTGAATCTGACCTATATCCAGACCAGGTGGTTGATCTTAACTGAATTAGAAAAACTTAACTGAATTGAGCTGAATAATGACACTTTTATCTTCTGTACAGCTGCTTTATAACTGAGTGAAATTTGTTTTATAATTTATGAATTTTAAAACATTAACAAAGTTATTGAACTGGACTGAATCAATGTTGAACTGAATTATTCTGACAAATTACTCTATTGTCTTTTGTAGAGATGCTTTATAGCAAAATTTGGATTGGTCTCATATTTGATGGTTTGAATCATTGATTCAGTTTTTTTTTTTTTATGTTTAATACCGTAAAGCTGCTTTGAGACAATCTGTATTGCATTATAGAAATAAGGGTGACGTTTTTTTTGTTTATTGAAAACATTTATATTTGAAAACTTTTTACAGTTTTCACTTTTATATGACCCCCCTGTTCTTGATCAATTGTACAATAAACGCAATTAGTTGGGATTGTTGATGTGCATGCCTGTTTTTCAAATTGTCTGTGTTTTCTCGCTCCATGATTAGTATGTCAAAATGTAAAACCCGGAGTGAAGCTGGAGTATATGATTACAGAGCACTTTTGAGCATGAAAGAGTGGAAATATCTTGCTCCTCTCTACTTTGAAAGTTTTTAGCACTCACATACTCTGTTCCAGACTGTCTTTTGGTGTGCTTAATGCTGACAAAAAACTTAATACAAAACTTAAAAGTACACTTTTAAAAAGAGTACCTTTTTCAGATATAATACTATATACACAATACTATAATAAGTATACTTACATACGAACTGAATAGAATATATGCATACATAAGAATATATTTACATATGAACTGAATGTACACTTATTGAACACTTAATTGCACGCTATTTGCAATGAAATGACAATGAATTATAATTTCAATTGATATTAAATGCAGTTAGCTGTACTTTAGAGTGCTTTTAGACCCACTTAAGACTTAAAGTACGTATTTGTGTAATTTCATAATTACTTCTATTGTACCGTAGAATATACTGACAAAAAATGTATGATAAAGTAAAATATATTTTAATGTCATTTCCACTGAAACTTGTATGTCATGTATTTAAATATATTTGTAATTACACATTTGTAGTGTGAAGTTGCAGTTTAGCACTTTAAATATATTATTGAATATCACACTACTGTCAAAATAATAATCAAGTATTTTACATGTGCTTTCGCACGTTAGTCAACACATCAAAATAAGTGTTTTTTAAAATACATTTAAAATTTTCATTTTAAAAATGTTGTAATAATCTTTTGTTGTACTTCAAAGTAAAACTTTTAATGTTACATTTTTATTCATTTGAAGGTGATCAAATGCACATTCAATGCAATTAAATGCACTTCTTTCAATAGTTATCTTACTTAATTATCATTATTATCATCACCGCCATGAGTGTGATACTGCTTCATTGGAAACATCTGTGTTTGGATTATGAATGTTCTTCTAGGCATGTACCTTATAATACTTCTGTCAACAGTGGGTGAAAAGGCAGCGCTGACGACCCTGTTTGTGTATAAACAATACGCCGCGAGCGCCGACACACCTGTGAGGACAAAAAACAAAAGATTTTAATATATGTGGGGGTGAACACTGGTGAAATGTTCTGATACTTTGTGTTTAAATGAGTAGTGTCATTCCACACTAGCATAGGAGGAACAATGCTGGTTTTAATCATCCATGTAATGGAAGAATTTAAAGCTTTAGTGCCTACTTTTCTTGTATTCAACCTGTATGTATATATAGGACAGATGTGTGTGGTTATATACAGTAAATGTACAAATATTGGATAAATGGTTTTGCTCACCACCAACACAATGAAAAGCTGCTCCGAACAATAATATTCTGTCTTTGTTTTTCTGACTTCCACCAATGTAGGTGCAGTCCATCCCGATAAAGCAGAGCACAGCAGCGACAAGCCCCAGACTCATGGCGATCAGAAGCAGGCCTCGGACTCCCTGAACATACGCTATTCAACAGGAACAAGAGCTCAAATCTGTCCCACACTGAACCAACTCTGTGACAATGTGATGAAGGCTGGAGATGCGAGAGCACTTACGCGTGACGGCCCACAGCACATCGTAGTCTCTGCAGTTAGTGACGGACGAGGTGTCCATCACACAGTCCTTCCACAGGTTTGACCAGTACCACGTCGCCTTGATCATCCAGTTGCCGCCTTTGCCGCCTACATAGAAGACTCGCCAGTAGTCCATGGCAAGCGTGCAGCTCACAAACAGCCAGCCAAAAGTAGCAATCAAGAATCCAAACACCTGAATCAGACGTTTCCTCATGTTCCTGTGAGCTGAGCATACGGTCATTCTCACTCAAACATGGTTCATGCTTCAGCAGAGGATGCAGTCTGACAAACACCTGCTGGAGTTTAGGGAGGGCTATGTTGTGTTTGTACACACATCGTGACGCTGGTTCACTATAAATATTATGAAGTGTGTGTCTGGTGGAGAAAATAGATGCAGTGCTTTTAGAATTCAGCAGATATTGTGCACTCTGTTGCATGTACCAAAAATATATTGCAACAATTATAGCAACATTATATGGAATATTTATTAAACATCAACAAAAATATATTTTTCTTAATCACAATAATGACTGAGACTTGGCAATACAGGGTACACAATCTTCAATGTTAGAAATTCAGACAATATTGAAACTCAAATCTGTATCGCAGTGTCATTTCATTTTGACAGTTTCCAGAAACATAATTCAATCTGGCTCAAAATCATGAACAACCACCATGAGTCACCCAAACTGGTCGAGTACAGCACAACTATCAACAGATGACATGTCCTCATGCAGCACTGCGTAAACATACATGTAGTGCTGAAATCACATTACATATGCCAGAGTCTTCAAAAATGCAAATAATAATCCTGACCAAAACTTCAATTACAGCATCTGTACAAGTCATCTGAGCTGGCCATCCAAAGGCACTTAATAAGCTAAGAAAAGATACCAGTGAGACATAGACATCAGAGGGAGGCGTGGATGGCTGAAGAAACAGTGTGTTATACGTAGGCGTTTTTGTCGAAGTGTTGGGAAGTGCCGCTGTATTCTGGCGGAGGTCTCCTGGTGTGTGACGACTGACTCTGTGGCATCGCACGAGACATTAAAGACGCTCCGCTGTTGACGAAAGCTCTTCTGTCCGATGGTGAACTGCTGAAAGGGGGAGATAATATCATCGTCTGTTAAGGTTTGGTGAGCATAAATGATCTATAGTTTGGGTCAAACATTTCATTTGGATTCTTTGGAGCTTATATCTTAGGGGGCATTTACATGACACTGTTTTAACTAAAAACAGAACACTTTTTATGGGTTTTGGCCTTTCAATTACATGACAATCAGCATGTAAAACAATCTTTTGAAAATGGGTTTCAAAGTGCAAGAAAATGATGCCATCATCATACAAAAATGTGAATTTGTGAAAACTGTGTCATCATGCGCATATGTGTTACGTGTTCAGTCTACAGGTATGTGCATATAGTGGGCCTCATTCGTGAAACTTGCGTAAATATACAGGTGCATCTCAATAAATTAGAATGTTATGGAAAAAGTTCATTTATTTCAGCAATTCAACTCAAATTGTGAAACTCGTGTATTAAATAAATTCAATGCACACAGACTGAAGTAGTTTAAGTCTTTGGTTCTTTTAATTGTGATGATTTTGGCTCACATTTAACAAAAACCCACCAATTCACTATCTCAGCAAATTAGAATACTTCATAAGACCAATAAAAAAAACATAATTGTTGGCCTACTGGAAAGTATGTTCATGTACTGTACATGTACTCAATACTTGGTAGGGGCTCCTTTTGCTTTAATTACTGCCTCAATTCGGCATGGCATGGAGGTGATCAGTTTGTGGCACTGCTGAGGTGGTATGGAAGCCCAGGTTTCTTTGACAGTGGCCTTCAGCTCATCTGCATTTTTTGGTCTCTTGTTTCTCATTTTCCTCTTGACAATACCCCATAGATTCTCTATGGGGTTCAGGTCTGATGAGTTTGCTGGCCAGTCAAGCACACCAACACCAAGTTTTGGTGCTTTTGGCAGTGCGGGCAGGTGCCAAGTCCTGCTGGAAAATGCAGTTTTAGTCACTTCCGTGTTGGCTTCTCGAGATAGAGCGGGAGGTTGCCGCTTGGTTTTACCCAAAGTTGAACTCTTAACTCCAAAAAAGAAATAAAAGAGACAGGGCAAACAGACTTGTGAAATATTCTTAACGTTTTACGCTCCATTTACATGCGATAGGGAGCAGAAAGAGCATTTCTGGTGTACCAGCTAAACATCTTGAAAACATGAACATTTTCATGAATTTGAAAGTTCACGTCAGAATGGCTTTATGAATGATTTACACAAAAATGTGTTCTGCTTGCTTTTCATGAACAAGGCCCCCTGTGTTTCTTTACAAACTACTGGCCTGGCATGCGTAATGCAGCGTTTTTAGTTGTTTTCACAGATCCGTGTGAACAGGGATAATTCTGTTGACAAAATTGTGTCATCTGTACGTGAAACTTAAAAAAAAACATTTTAAAATGGCCTTTTACTTGCTGCTCATGCCATCAGACAGCGACAGGCAGAAGAGCGCTCCTCCGAGGATGCACAGCGTCGATCCGGCCCAGCCGATGAACAAGGCAGCACCCAGTTCATACCTGAGGAGAAGCACAGCATTTCATCAGCAACATCGCTCCACTCACCTTCAGTCAGCCAAAAGCTGGTAGGAAAAAAAATATATATATATACTTTTGCGCAACAAACATGGGGTCGAAAAACTCGGACGTGATCCTGTGAGCGTACAGAGAACAGGCGCTGAGAGAACACAGACCTGCCGAGGAACAACATGCACAAGTTACTGCCTCATTATATATTAGTACAGCACTGGGCATTTCCAGCTGAGAAACAAATGTGAAACCCACCAGTACACATGAAGGTGATCCCAGACAAGCAGACGATTCTGGCTTTGGTTTGGTCAGGACCACCGATCTTAGTGCACTTCATGCCGATCAGAGCAAAGATCGATGCAAAGAAACCCAGACAGACTGCAGCGATCATCAGTCCCCGACACACCTGGATATAACCTGCACAAAACATGTGAAAGAATGAACGCTATCTGTCAGTCACCTTTCTTTATTATTCATTTTAGACGTGTTCATCCAAAGAATGCTCAAATTATATATTTTACAATACATCATTACAACAATATATTTCTGTCGTGACAACTCTCGGAGGGATTGGCATGGTAATGTACGTGACAAGGTTAATGTATTTGGTCTTGGTGGAAAAGATCTGCTACGCTGCTGCTGCAATACAGCCACAACATGCTGCTGTGAGCATGTAAGAAACACTGCTGCTGCACATATAACATACATGAAATAACCCCCATATAGCATACATGAATCACCTCGTAGCAGATCTATACAGGTGGAGCTGGGGAAGGTGGAGGGTTTCTGAAGCAAGCTGCAACTGCTACAGCAAGCACTAGTCATATATTTGAATGTTGAGCAGCGAGCTCACTGGCTATCAATACAGGAGAGAACCAATCAGCTGTGACGTGATAATGATGTGATTATGTCAGACTGAGTTAGATCTATCAGACTGCGCCATCTAGATTTTCATTCCAGAACTCTGTACTTAAAATGTAATAAAAATAATAATAGGATATTAATGTAATGAGTCCATATTTTGGACAGAAAACCTCGTCCTGTCCTCTTAAATCTTCAAATTCCAGTGGTGTTATGGCTACAGAAATGAAAGCAGATTAATTAATTCACACAAACTGATGAAGCTGTAGTAGAGAACGAGCTGTTTCTCTGATGTCTGTCCTTCAGTCATGGAAGAGCAGACTGGTATCCACAAACATGCTCTTCTAGCTACTCTCTGGGCAAATATTAGCTCGCTAGTTAACCCACAAATGCTACTGAATGAATGGAAAACAGCCTGGAGATAAATGCATCTAATTTATTGCCCTCAGCTTTCTGAAAAGTGCTAAACATTGACATGTTAGAAGGAAAACAGTCATTTCAGACAGTTGTGAGTTTACCTTGTGCAAATGTCGAGAGAATTATTCAAAGAAAAAATGATCTTCTCGTGATTCAAGCCGTATATGTCAAATTAAATATTTCACAGGTGTCATTAAATATATATTATATAATGAATAATACATATATACAGTGGGGTAATGATGCCTGAAATTACTACTGAATTTATTTTGCATGAAAGCATTCGAAACTTGTTTGTCATTAGCACAACAGTCTGAGTAAAGGTTGAATTTCAAATGAACACGGATGTGAGAATTGGTGTTTCTCGGCAGCACTGGAGCTACATGAAGAAAATCTGAAGATCATGCTCTCCAGCGTGATCTAAGATGATCCAAAGAGCTTGAGCTTCAATGCATTTGAAGATCTGACCATCTGGATAAAAAAATACATTTCCATAACATTTCTTAAACTGTTGATTATTTACTGGCTTAACTAAAATAAAATAAAATAAAAATACACTGGCTGAATATATACATGCATACATGTAAACATATAAGCACACAAACTTCACAAAAACAGAGACGTCTAACCGTCCAGTGCCAGCATTGAAGGGAAGTCTTTGCAGTTGGAGATTCCAGTAGAATCAGTCACACAGGTTTTCCACAAGTTGGACCAGAAGGTGGCTGTGGTGATAACCGTGCCGTCGATTGAAGACACCTTCCAGTAGTCTGTAGGTAAGGTGGAGGACACCAGCACCCAACCCGAGGTCGTGAGGATAAACCCCAGTATCTCTCTCGCCATGTTACTCATTGTTCTTCTTAAGTTCTCCAGCCGTCACTCCTGTGGTTCTCCAGCTTATTGTCCAGGTTTAGCAAGTGCACTACACCAGCTGGCTAATATATTCTCATGTGACACTGCACTGGGAGGGTCTGCCAACCCAAAAGATTGGATGCAGCCACTGAAGGAGACGGTGGAAAGGTGGTAACACAGAGAAGTATTAACAGGACTTTTTATTATTATTTTGATGGTCCCCTTCTGCACATTCTGTTGACTATAAGTAATGTTGCACCTACACATCTAGGAGCTCTCATTAGAGTATCAGTAGAGTATTAGTAGACTGGTAGAGTTAGGGTTAGAATAAGTTGACATGTACTTGCAAAGTTACTTATAGTCAGTAGAATGTCTGCTGGGAGACCATCACAAAGAGTTAGCAGATATAATGAGAGTTAGTTGACACATAGATGCAACGTTACTTAGAGTCAACAGAATGTTCAAAGGGGACCATCAAAATAAAGTGTTAGCAT